TCGGCGACGCAGCCAGCAGCTGGCGTGACATCTTAAATTGCGTGGGAAATCATCTGACTCGGCGTGCGGCGAATGACGTTCGCTTCGCCGACGGTTATTAAGTGTTGCTTGATGGGTGGGAGAATGTTACAAGTGGACGCAAAAAGTAAAGAGAGTTGTAATTTAGACACAAGCAACAAAAGAGTTCAAAAGCTCGGGTGTTTTGTGATATTTTGAGCTTTCAAAGCTGTGTGGGAGGGTGAAAGTGTCACTAGAATTTTTGAATTACTTGTTGAAGCTTTTTTGCGAGCTGTCTGACAAAAATATGGCCAAAAAAGTAAAAAAAAAGGCCAAGGAAGAAAAAAAAAAAGTTTTCTGTCTGGCCGCTCTTCATATCTTTCTCATTCTCTTGCCCTTGAAGTTTGTTGAATTTCTCGGCTACAAAGCGCGCTACAATTTCCGGGTATTCATTTTGAGGGCTGACGTGAGTTTTATTAGAAATCTGAATGCCGCATTTTTGAACATTTCGCCTGCTAATCGAAACTGTAAACAGTTTTAAACCCGCTTAACCGCCTTTGGGCGCATGGATTGTGCGCTTAGCGGCTCCTCTTCGGGTTGCACTTAGCGTTTATGGGGCTTTGGCATGTTTGCGGAAAAAATTGGAAGACGAGATTCCAAGGTGTCGGCTGAAGAAAATATACAAGTCATATCACTGTACAATAAATCATAGAGCTGCTAGTCCGTTTGCAGAGTAGCTGGAGCGATTTTTGGCGTTCGCACTGCGCAGAAGAAGTCAGGTATGAGCTACAGCCCAAAAAAGCGCAAATAATGAGAATATATCAGTCTGTCGGAAAAATAACGGCGGATCGTCGCACCTCGGAATCGCCCATCATCGCTTTGCGACTGCAAGCCGCGGCTTGGGATTTGGTGCGCGATAGCGGCGAGGCGAGACATTTTGCTGCGACGATCCGGCGTTATTTTGCCGACAGACTGATAGCTGCACCAATCATGTCGCTGAAGTGGAAAGCAAGTTGATTTTGTCGCGACACAATTCACTTTCTCGGCGACGATGCGATGCGACAGAGTGCTCATTATTTTCCCGACAGACTGATGTTCAAATTCCTATCCATTGCACGGAGTTTTACGGGATCCATGTTTGTCCTTTAATGTCTAATCTCCGGCGGAGGATTAAACTCGCTTCAATTGGGCCTTGTTTGATTCAGGGATTTCGCTGTGAAAAGATGTTTAGAAGTCATAAGAGGGTGGAATAGTTGTTTTGGAAAACACGATTAAAAGATTATACTATTTTTTTGAATATTAGGGAGCAAAGAGGATGGCAAAAAGTTTAAAAATCAGTGAACTTCGAAGAGCAAAAGATGCGTCTTCAGGCGAAAGAATTTCGGCGAAAAAACCGTCTCTAATCTCCGGCTACGGCTAGCCGGCGACGATGGGCGATAAGAAACCACATTATTTCCCCGACAAATTGATAATATGAGCCGCTTTTAAATCATCATTTCATTTCTGATATTCTCCCATTAATAGGCATGCGTTGTCTGTCGCCAAATTGCTCTTTTGAGCCACTAATTGATTCCAGTTCATCAATCGCAGATAACAAGTCACATGCCTCCAAAAACTTGTATTGTTGTGCTTGAAACACAAGCCAAGCGAATCCTCAGTTTTAGAGGAAATTTCAGCGGATCCAGCTGTTTTTTCGAGCACCGTTAAATGGCGTAACGAGCTGTTCATACGCATTAATTCTTGATGCAATTCCCCGAAATTGGAATGAAACATTCGGATCATTTCGGGCTAAAAGTGCACTCTTGTTTTGACTGTCTGAATTATGGAGGAAGTGGATACATTTACTACGTGCCGTCATGAGTACGTCTGAAAATTGTTTTCGGGGATTGGATGATGGATGGTGTTGGTTTGTGTCTTGTAGTTGGGGGTAGGCGAGGATAAAAGTTTAGAAATTCAAAAGGACAGGGATTACGCTCAAATTAAAATATAGGGAAGCTTTCGTACAACAAATCTTCGTTAAACTCTCTTGTAGTCCGTTCGCATAGTCGCTGGAGTGATTTTGGCGACGTGCACTGTGCCAGAAAACTCAGGGTGCGAGCGACAGCTCGAAAAAGCCTATTGCACTGTGCAAAAAGCCAAAAATTGCACAGTGCAAAGTGAACTTTCGGTTTCGCGGAGTGCATGTCGCAGAAAACATTCCAGCGACATACAAACGGACCAGTCGTTTTTGAATCCTAAAAAAAGTGCGTAGACTTTTTGTCACGGCGTTTTTCGCATTGTGCATTTCCTTTTTTCACTGTTCGGGAAATCAATCTTTTTTTTTTTTTCAACTGCGTCTCCACGCATTTTATGTGCGCGACAACAATTGCACAGTGCAAAAAGAAGCCAAATGCACTGTGCGCCGTGAAAGAAAAACTCTACGCGCTTGCACCGTGCATTCCATTTTTTTTTGTTTCCGCACTGTGCATCAAGAATGTCGCTGTGACATAATCAAGCTTCAACAACGTCGCTGCACCAGCGCGGGGAATTTGCACAGTGCAAACGGCTATTTGGCGTTTGCACTGTGCGAAAAGAGAAAAATATAAAATGCACTGTGCATTGGCGACAAGCGTGAAAAAAAGTTCAAAATGCACGCAAAAAGATGTCCATTCACTTTATGAAAATACTATATCAATAAAAACAGCCCAGTTTTTTGTCCGCTTGCAATTTGTTGCAATAAGTTGACCTGCAATTCTCGAAATAACAAAAAGTTGCGGTGAACTATAAAAAACAGGTTAAATAAAAAGGTGGTCCCTTTAGAAAGGCTATAAATAATTTATGAATACAATGTTATCAACTGTAATATGTATTAAGATAATTGTATGGAACAAATTTTGTCTGTCATTTGAGCGCATTTGTTTTTGAATTCTGGCTGAGTTTTTCCCCTATGCTTGGTTAAGTAGGTTTAGAAATGCACTTTGAGCTGACAACAGTTTTATTTTCATACAACCGAGCCGCTGTACAACAAACCCCCGTATAACAAGAACTGTTTATAATGAGCTATTTCGAGGGTCTTGCGAGTCAATTTTATGCCAAAATAAACCTCTGTACAACGCAAACCATTCCATAAATAATGTATTTTCTAGTCCCTTGCGATTTGTTGTACTGAGTCTTGACGTTGTACCAAGTCGTTTTACCGAGTCATATTGTCTGTCAAGCCTTGAAAATCTTCTATCATGGCTTTGCAACCGCGGCCAGGAACTTGGCTCGCGACCGTGGCGAGGCAAGAAATTTTCAGCGACAAATCCACATTACTTTCCCGACAGACTGATAATTTCTCAATTCTTTACTGTAAGGCGACAACTACGATCTTGACCTCCAATTATATATATTGAAGGTCAAGTATACGGTAGCTCTTGGCCTGCTCAAAATGGAGGCGGTCACATGCTCTCATCTCTCTTCATTCTCCTATAGTCGTATCGGAAATGCGCATGTCATATGCACCGCACGCCCCACTATACGATTATTACGTTTTCCCAGACTAATGCAATCGTCTTCTCCGGAATCATCAAAATTTTTTTTTGTTTCAGGCTCAATTCCTTATCGCCTCCAATTTGTTGAATCATGATTAAAGAGAGCGGGCTATTATCATTCCCAATTTTTCGTATGACCAAAAAATAAAAGGAATTTCTCACACTTTTTTTTTGAGACGAACTGGCTTCCGGCCAAATCCCCTATCATCCGTCATATGTTTGTCTTTGGAGCGACAGACGGAAAGAGCAATATTAAAGCCTCAAACAACTGCAAATGTGTTGGCCGCACTTCGAAAAACGTGGGACGAGAAAGGAGGATGACTCAATTTACTTTTAAAAAGCAATAAATATAGTAAAAACCTTGTTGCAACAAATCGGAACAGTAAATTTATTCGCTATGGCTACCACAGAGGTTCGTTATATGTAGGCTCATTTTAAAGGGTAAGCACACTTTTTGCAACGCTCAGATTTTGATGGCATTAGGCACAAAGTTAGAATATTTTTTTCCAAAAGACATGCAAAATTTCTAGCCTGCGCTTTGCAGAAAGGACCGAGATTTTCAGGTCGAAATTTGATGAAAATGTGACATTTTTTGAAAAATTTGGCTTAAAAAGTCTCACGCTTTCTACCGTAGATAGAAATATCTCCCCAAAAAATCAATTTATTCAGCACAAAGCTGGCAACTTTTACCTCTAAAATTGCTCGTTGCGGAAAGGCTTTGATGCTTTGGAGTTTGCTGTACCCGAATTTGTATCATTGTTTTTGCAAACAAAACGAAATCCTGCAGAAAAACTACAAGACAACCACTAATTTGCCCGATACAAATTGCCTATTAATAGCATAGTTGAAACGTTTGAACTTTTGGGTTTATGCGAGGCAACGTTCAGGCTGTAATTAACAAATAACGAAACGTGGGAAAAATTTGCAAAAAAACTCGAATATAAAAAAATTGAAAACATAGCCGTCAAGGTCTCTAAAATGAACCAAAAGTGCCAAAAAAATGATTTTTAATACGATAATTTTGTTGTATAGAGGTTGAATTTGAACTGAGGTCGCCCCTTGAGATCTCTGAGATTGGTTGTTATACAGATGCTTCGTTCTATAGGGGCTTCAAACAGAATTCATCGCCGAATGTTTTATCATTTTTATTTATTTCGGATATACATTCATCTCTAGGTGAAATTGAGCATGACAAACATAACAGTACTATCTTGTGATGGGCTAGAGGACATAACAAGCGAAGGGGAAAATAAGTTTTGCGATTTGATTTGAGATCAATGAAAGCGCGGCGCTTGCGATCAAGGATATATATTGAATAAATTAAAAACGAGTGAAGAGAGATCGGTAATGGGGGAGAAGAATCGAAACAAGAAGGGATACAACGTACCTGAAGACTCGACCATTCCCAAAATATATAATATATATGTATTGCAAAGGCACTTCGATGAGTAAATGGGGTTTGAAAGAAGGGATTACACAGACAAGCTCTCTTCACGGGGTAAGGCACAAGAGATCGGATAGAGCGGAGTGAACTTGCGATACTTTACATAACAATGCGTACTGTCCGGCACGAATCTCGACGAGTTGTCGCCCCATGCAATTGGGATGGGACGACAGGCGGCGTTCGCACCGCCCAGTACAGACGCTAAAATTGTACTAGCGGATGGGTGGGGACGGGTATGGGGCGCTAATTGACACTACGTACAAAGATCAACAACAAAGAACTATGGGCAGTATTTACAGGACACGTTCTCCTCACTTGAACATTCTGAGGTTTTGTTGAGCAGAAGAGATTTGCGGTTTGCAAGGGTTTTGCGAGCAGTTGAAAGCCACTGAAAGCCGGACTAACGAAAGAAAGGCGAAAGTGTTGGTGGAATCGGACCATGAAATGCTAACGGATTGTGTGAAAGAGCGTCGATTTTCGGCGAACCATACATGTGTGTTGAGGTGAAGCATCGTCGTACTCTGTCGTCGTGGCCTCCATCCAGATGCGGCCATTTGTTTTTGTACATGCTGCGGAAAGCACTGGGCGGTGCGTGTCGTCAATTCATTGATATGCACACGGTAGCGTCTATTGGAAGTATCGGTCTTCGAAGAACTTGCGCAACTTGGGGAAGCGGTTCGTCCGCTGATGCAGTTTTCCATGCTTGGGAAGCGGCGTCGTCCGCATCGGCACGGAGTCCACAAACACGCCCGAATTGCTGTCGTAGTCGGAGGTGTCTCGGTATTCGTAGTCCTCTTGAAGGGCTGAAAATGTCAAAATTACTCAACTATATAGTTCAAACCTGAATACGTTTGTATTCGTGACATATTTTGCGTTTTTGAGTCAAAAAACCACGAACTTTTGGGACAGAATTTGTAGCCAGACAAAAACTGTTGCACTATTAACGAACGGAAGTGCCTCACAAACTTCTCGGTTCATTTGCCTCAAACTTCAGAGCAAAAAAAACGATAAGAGCTAGCCAGAGAAAAAAGAACGTACCTCGTTTCCGGTGTCGGTGTGCTCGGGCGTCGACTGTCGTTGACAAAACGCAAAGCGCTAACGTCAGACCCACTAGGAATTGCAGCATTGATAGATAGTTCATTTTCTTTGCGAAGGGTTCTGCAAAGAATTGGGGGGTTAATTTTCGAAACGTTACACTTGATCGCGAAACACGAAAACTTTTTTTTTGAAACTTTCTTGAGTGGAAAGAAAGGACTTGGCGGGGTTTTTATAAATTGACCAGGTTATGAGACGTTTCAACTCATGCTCCAGTGCCAGCCGGAAGCGGAGCGTAGACGGGAGTCGCGGGCAAAAAATGACTGTCGCTCTTTTGGGGCGGCTACGGTCTTTTAGGTACTGTGGTCGCGGGAAAACATAGTAAACGTAAAAGGAAGATGTAAATAGAAAATTACTGATAGGTAATATGTGACCGAACTTCGAGCCCGAATTCCCACGGAAATCATCATTTATTATTCAAATTTGATTGTACTTCCCTTCGTGGAATTTCCCTATATAAAGGCCGCTTTTCACTCAATAAATCACTTGAACTCGAGCTTCTCGTCTTATCGTGTGGTTGTCGACATAATATTAATTGAAAAAGTTTTAAAACTGTATAAAAGTCAACAATCAAGTCGGATGAGGCCATCTTTCCCAGCAATAGAGAACGGTACTCCCCCCAAGTGGAAGCCATATGGGATAGCTCCGCAGCCAGAACACCGAAACAACAGCACAACTCGCGGTTGTAATCTTGATTTATATATCCGGCTCCCCGCATCCCAGCCGCTCTGCACGCCGACGAAAAACCACTCGATGCGAAAAAAAATCGTCGCCGAAACGGGTGAATCCCCCCGAAGGCGAACGGGGTGGAGATTGTGTTGGTGGTGGTGGGGGAAAAAGGGAGGCGCGTACAGGAATTCGCAGCGCTCGCCCCGTCTTCCTCTCGCCGCATTTCTTCTTCCTCCCGCGGACCGCCCCCTTTTGACGCTATATATTTGGAGTCGATTGATGCGGTCCGAAACGAAAATAACAAAAAAAAAGTTAAAAATATTATCGGAGAAAGTCATAATAAAGAGTAATTAAAAGGGGGCGGAGCCTGCGACAGTTGTGTGTGCAGTGGTCAAGGGCTTGTTGTAAAAAAGGGGAGTGGTTGGGTTGAGGGCAAAAACCAAGAAAACAATCTGCCATATTGGGAACATACGAACTGTACAGTCATTGTAAGCCCTCAATTCCAGCATACAACAAAAAGTCCGACGACTGGAGCTGCGACCGTCGTAATTCTCCGATAGCCGCGAATGGATCAACCCAAATCCCGCTCCCCCGATAAATCATCTCCCTCTTCTTTCGGCTCCCTTTACGTAAACCCGAACGCGTCCGACCGGCGAGCGCAACCGAAGAATGCAAAGTGAAAGTCGCGCATAATCATCGGTCAGGTAAGTCGGAGTAGGCCCCGCCCCCAACCCCCCTGTTTCTTCGATCAGAACGTGTTCCGGAATTTGATTGGAAAGTGAGAGTTGTGGGGGCCGGCCCCGCCCCGGACATTCCTGAACACGCCGCGCGTACCGTACGCAAAAGACGTGTGATTGAGAAATCAGGTGTGGAAATCGTGAATCATACTGGGAAACGCGAGCCATACGACGCCCCGGTTATTGCCGCTCGCCGGGCCGCGCAAGGACGAATGAAAGCGGCGGACGGTGGGACGGTAGGCGATTCGTCATCCCCGTTTTTGATGACGCATAACAGAACGGTGAGGTGGATTGGGTGCAAGATGGGGGCAATTCGCCACCTGTCGTGTGTGTTCAAAGATCTTGCGGCTCCAAAGAATCGCGCAAACTATAAACTCGAAAGTTGGAAAGCATGCGGTAAAACACGAGGATAACGCACAAAGATAACAGAGCGACATTAAAACTGGAGACATTCCCCCAAATGACTGTGAAAACAACGGTTTTGTAGGCTTGAGATTATAATAATAGCAAACCCACATCAACACCAATAAAGGGCACTACAGACAGGAAGTAATTGCGTGACGTCGACTTCCTTTTTCGGGGTTTGTTGGCTAGAGACCAAAAATTTTATTAACGTTGCACTTGAATCGGAAGAAAGGCTTATTTGTAAGCTGGCAAATTAACATCTAATAAACTTGTGACGTCATCAATAAAGGTTGAACTTTTGAATTCGATTTAAAGAACGAAAAATTACCATTAAAGCCATAAATGTCATCAAATTCGACTGATACGGAGTGATAAACGCCGGCAACACCCCGTTTCCTCTGACGTGTCGCCGCCCTTCCGCTGAGCCCGCGCTCTCGCCGGACGGTGATAAAAAAATACAAGCAAAGTTAGTGTACAACGAGCAGCTCCCACCCCTCCCATTCCCCTTGCCGACCCAAAAAAACGAACGCGGCAAAACGATCGCCGCCAATTTCACAATACCACAAAACACCGCGCGCTGATTACAAGGCCGCCGCGGCACGAAATCCGAACGAAAGCGAAACCCGGCGGAAGTCACGAAAATCCGCACCGAAGCGATCGGCGCCCCCTCCTCATCGTCGTCGATGGAGCGCTGTGTTCCCAATCGGCCGGCTGCAGATAAAAATCTCCCGGGGCGCAATTGCATGCTCGCAGTGCCAGGCCACCGGTTCGTGGGGGAAACGCGCTAACCGTATGGGCAAAAACATGTTCGCGGGTTTGTTACAGCGGGCGTTGATGATGCCGGCTCTTTGCGCCCCGTAAACAATGGAGACATTTTTGGGGAAGTTGGCTGCAGCAGAATTTGCGGAGAGTGCGGAAGAATGGCGGGTGAGTTGCCGTAACCTGACATTTGGAGATTGGCTGGGACAGACGTTTTTTTTGTGTAAATCAAAACCTTATGAATAAACAGACTGGCTGATAAAACTTTTTTTTCCGACCCGCAACTCCAAAATATCGCATTAAAGATTGGAAAAGGGCGATTAGAAACATTGCGGATTTAATAAGGTCGGCCAAAACCGAGCCTTTAAAATGAAACTTGCATCCTCCCTCAGGTGAAAAAGAATGGCACGGATTAGACGGTGTCAATCCCATTAACGGCTTAGAAGAATTGGATTAAAATAATTGCACCACTCAAAAATTTTATAAGTAAAAATATGACAGAACAGAAACTTATTGCCCTAATTATGCCTCTAGATCTTTGAAGTTGTACCTTGAGACATTAAAAAGTTTTTTTTCCAGCTTCCATTGCACGCTAGGTTAATTAATTTAGCAGTTTTGCTCTTTGATTTATCTAAATTTGCCAGTTTTTGAAGTTAATCACAAAATTTCCATCTTTGGCATCGCGGAAATGACATACAGCCGCAAAAAATGCCTTCAAAACAGGACGTCATTGTTTTTGCGATGACCTTTGACTCACACGTTTCGCAACAAACAAACAGAGCGATGACGAAACGGTACTGTTCGCGCACTCGCCGGCCAAACAATCCCCTGTCTCTAGTTTGTAGTGAGCCGGTGGCGAGTCGACGTGTGGCGGGATGAGTAAGCATTCTCTCGCCGAATTAGCGACTCGCTTATTTTTGGCGTGATTAATGGAGTGCTCGTTCCACTACGACTGTTTTCAGGTACGATATTTTTAGCCATGGATCAGCTTGACATTAAAGAAAAAATTTGTTCGGTTTCCGGCGAGACGCAAGAAAAACTGAAGAAATGATGTGCGATGGGATTAGAGTGGGGCATTAGAATGGTGGGGTATTAAGGGAATTTTAATTAGCCATGTTATTAACAGCGATTTTTTTAAAATTAGCAAAAAAAAATTTTCGAAAAAAATTTTTTGGTCCCCCTTGACATAATTAAAAATTCTACAGAAGCCTTAGGCCAGAGGAAGACAAAAATAAACTTGAAAACGAATTTTTTAAATGCTAAAAATACAATTTTTCGCTCAAAACTGGCTAATTCAATTGGTTCTGTCAAAATTTGCCCTTAAACCCAAAAACACTTGACTTTACAGCGAGTGTTGACGTTGTTACGGCCTGCCTCCACCTTGATATCCCCCCACCACCATCTTCGAAGACCATAAAAATCTCCCTCCCCGCCGCGCCCCGATTTTCTCCCGTTTCGCGGCTTCGGGGCATTCCGAGAACACCCCGCTTTCCGAAGCGCTCCCGTTTCCCGAGTGGAGTCGCGCAAGTTTTTCGTTTGGAATAAGGCCAACGAATCCGGTGGATCGCTGACTTTCCCGTCGGCGTCGCCGTCAATTCGGGTTGCATTTGTTCGACGCGTTTTTTGCGTGCATCGTGCAGGACGGAGACAGTCACGTCGGGATTTTTTGCGACTGTATTGGGGTCGAATAATTGCGGGGAATCGAGTGGTGTGTTGTTCGGTGATGTTTGAAGTTTCGCCTTGAATACGGAGCCTTCTTTTCGGGAAGTTTGGACCATGCAAATTTATGCAAATTTTTGGAATTTTTTAAAATTTGAAAAATTTGAATTTATGATGTTGAAAATTTTATCACCTTAATTTTTTGTGTACAACTAAAAAAATTTTTTTCTTAATTATGCAAATTTTTCAATTTTTTTAAAATTCAAAAATTAAATTTTTTTATTAAAATTTTTTTTTTGTCTAAATTTTTGGCTATGCGATTAAAAAAATTATCATCAAAATATGCAAATTTTTTTGAATTTTTTGCTAATTAAAAAATTAAATTTTTTGATTTCAAAAAATTTTTCACTAAAATTTTTGAATATCCAATTCAAAAAAAAATCATCACCACATGATTTTTTTTTACCAGACTATGCCAATTTTTTGCTCTCAAAATTACTCGGACAATTTTTTTCCATTCCGGTCTCATGTTCTCGCAATTTCTTTTGGACCCCATTAGCGCCGGTTATCGATAAGATCGGGTGTTCATGGAAGTGAGGAGGGCGAATTCAGCGACCCGGTCGTTGGAAGAGAATGTGTGCCGGGCGGTACGATTGGAATGGGAAGGGCGCTTTGTTCGAGCCGACACCTCAGGGTGCGAGGGGTTGTTTTGTGACCCCAAAGGTCGACGAATTTCACCGGGAAGCTGAGCAGAACTCAAAAAAAAAAATAAATTCCTAGAACTCAACAAAAAAAGTTCGCTAAGTTCCAATGAAAAATCTGATCAGTCTGTCGGGTAAATAATGTGGATTTCATGCAGCGAAATTTCTGATGGGCGATCAAAAGGCGCGACAAATCCACATTATTTTCACGACGGACTGATCAATGTTAGTATGTATTTTCATAAAGTGCATGGACATTTGCCGCGGCCCGTACCGTGCTCAAAAAACACCCGGTTTTGCACCGTGCATTTCACATTTTTTTTGTTTTCCGCACGGTGCATTGGAATATTGCCGCTGAAAGATTTGCACAGTGCAAACGGCTTTTTTTGTGGTTTGCACTGTGCATCACAAAAAAGAGAAATGTACTGTGCGAAAGCGACGATCACTTGTCGCAAAAGAGTTTGCACCGTGCATTTCATTTTTTTTGGTTTCGCACTGTGCATTTCAAAGGCATTATCGCCGCGACATGAGCTTTTTTCAAATGCGTCGCCGTGGTTTTGCTGAAAAACTTGCACAGTGCAAACGGCTTTTTTTTGTGGTTTGCACTGTGCAAAGAGAAAATGCACTGTGCGTTGGCGACAAGCGTGGCGAAAGTTCAAAATGCACTGTGCGAAGGAAAAAAAATGTCCATGAACTTTATGAAAATACTAATATCAGTTTGTCGGGAAAATAATGTGGATTTATTCAACTTCAAAATGTATGCGAAATTTTTAAGCGTCGCTTTGCAGAAATACTCGCGATTTTTTTTTTCAAAAGTTGCCAAAAATCTCGCAGTGTTTTCTGAGCTCTTGTCGCCCCTTTCTTTCAAGTTAGACCCCATTTTTTCACGTGATCTCCTTATGGGACCCTCCCATAAAACTTCTTGTTTCACTCCGCCACACCGTAAATTGCCCCAGTTTAATCCGATCGCGTCTTCATACGCGGGGGGCCGGTAATTACGCGAGCGAGTCAGCGCTGCGACTGGTGGCGACAAGCGATTAATACCGCCTCTCTTGATCGCCGTTTTTTCTTTCCCCCAATTTCCAGCCTTGCGATGAAAAATTCCAAGAGAGCGCGCCTTAACGCGCGACTGGCCATTAAGGTGAGTGGGGGCGCGCCGATTTCGCAATCCCGGTGCATTGCGGTGCTCTGCACCGGAAGAAACGGGGTTATGACGCGCTTCTTCGTCGCCATCTTCACCCCTTTCCCCGCCTCGCCCCTCGCCTCGGCCCCACCGACTTGTTCGGGCCGCGGCGACTTTTCGCCGAAACGGCCTGGGACCAGGGCCCGAGCGGCGGCGGCGGCGGCGACGACGAAAAGAACAAAGTGCGCGACATTGCACCGGCTTCCACCAGGCATTGCGGTCGGAGAACCCGACGAAAAGCGGGCGAGCGATCCCGGCGGACAGGCGTTTTTTGGCGCGCGCGACAAAAATGGCACTCCCAGGTACGGGCGACGCGCCACAAAGACCTCATTAAACATGTTAGCGGGCCGGCTACGGTAGCCGTAATTGCGGAGATGGTAGGATGCCGATGGTAATGAGATGAATAATCTTTTTGAAAAGAGGCGTCAGTTCGTGGGGCCGGCCTCTTGGAGGGTCGGGATCTCGGAGGTCAAGGGTCTCAAGCCGTTGAGGTCAGGGAGAGGGCTACAGTAACCGGCGAGAGAATGTTCTCGAAGCCAAAGACAATAGGGGAGATTAAAGAGGAGCGTAAGTACGGAAATTAAGGAAAAGTTGGGTTAAAAAGTTGTCAAAAATGCCTACAGAATTTATGGGTTAGCTCAGGGGGCGATAAACAGGGGTGTAGCTGAAGAAAAATTTTGGGGGAGGTCGCCTGAGGGGAGGGGGAGAAGGTCACCACGTAAAAAGCTTGATCCTAACTTACAATTTTTTCTTTGAGCCCTGCCTGCGGGTACCTCCACCCCTGGCTACGCCGCTGTCCATAAAGGCTAGATTCGGTTCATAAATGAAGCTATCAGCCACAAATACTCCGTTTGTAATGTCGCCGGAGTGATTTGCGGCGTTTGCAATTTGCAAAAATAGTCAGCGACAGCTGCCATTGGCTTTTTGCAGCCCAAATAAGCCAATTGCACAATGCAAAAAAGCCTATTTTACAGTGCGCGGTTAACTTTTGTTTTCGTACTGCGCATGTTGCCAAAATCACCGCAGCGACTCTACGGACAAACTAGAAATACCGCCAGGTTCATATAAGCTAACACAGTACCCCCATTTTCCCCAAAAATAAAAACTACGGACCTTTTTGCGGCCTGCTACGCATATTACAGCCCGCATACGAAAAAATACGCAATTTTGAGTATCAAAAATCTCTCTACTATAAGTCTCACGTAATACGCCGCCCTTTTGGCCATTTGTTACCCATAGCTTAAGCGTCGGGATTATCCAGTCAAGAAACATTTAGTTTCAAATTTAGCAGAGTATAGCTTGCAAAACTCAGACGTCTTTAGTACCATATAGTACCAGTCGATTTTTTTACCAAGTTTCTCAAAAACCGCCGCCACTTGCCCCATCGAAATTCCCGTCCATTTCGGGAATACAGTAGCCCGCCACACACACAAAAAAGGTTTCTTGTATGTCGCACATGGCAACTTCATTGCTCACTGAGCTCTGAAACGGACTTTAAAAGGGCGGAAATGCGGCGGTGAAGTCGGGCGTTCGAATTCGTATACAAACTGTTTGTAAAAAAAAACACGCCAACTTTTGGGCTACGTTTCCCTTGTTCCCAGACGTTTTTTGGCGGATTTTAAAGTTTATTTTGAGAAGATAACGAAACCATTCGGCCATTTGGTGGGAAATTCATATCTCTGATTGTACGGACCCTCGATCATGTAGAGCTGAACTATCAAAAATTGAAAAAATGGGGCATAAAGACAAGATATTAAGCGAGCTACAGCCAAACCTCTACACTGCAAATTACAAGCGACCAAAAAAAATATTTGATATATCATAACGGCGATCCGATTTTCGATGCGACAGTGCCCATTAATTCCCAACAGATTGATATAAGTATTTTCATAAGCATTTGAACTTTTTCTCACACTTGTCGCTAACTCATAGTGCATTTTTCTCTCTTTGCACAGTGCAACCCTCAAAAAAGCCGTTGGCACTGTGCAAAATGGTAAAAAACGGATAGCGGTGCAAATATTAGTTAAAATTCGGTGCAAATATTGGCAAAATTAACTGTGTGCATGAAAAAGGTCTAGGCATTTTGAAAAAGCAAAGTATGAAAATACTAACAGAAGGGTGTTGCTGTACTGAGGTTTGTCCCAAATCATCTAAATTCAACTTTTGAGACATCAGAAACGTTTGTTATAGACAAGTTTTATTATTCTGACGCCTGTCCCAAATCTCCTAAATTTGAGACATCGGAAAATTTTCATTATAGACAGTTTTTGCTGTATGAAAGTCTGCTGTACAGAGGCTGCACTGGATTCGATATGGCCTGTATATCACATGAATTAACATAGCTACAGTGACGGACCTGATCCAGTGACAAAAAACGTACCATTTTGCATCTGGAAAGTTGCAAAAAATGTGGCAAAATGCCTCCCTCTCCAGCTGAAAACTCCGTTTTGAAGGGTGCTTTTTTCGCTTGGAGAGGGAGGTATCTTGCTACATTTATGATACTTCCCGGATGCAAAATGGTACGTTTTTTGCCACTGGATCAGGTCCGCTACAGTTTAAGATTGCAATCTCAGCTGTTGCCAAATTTCACCAAAATCCGATAAACCTATACTAATGTTTCCCTGAGGGCCCTCAATTCAATTTAAAGGTACTTCATGACCCTAAAATTTCGATATCAGCTCCCAATTGACCTCTCATCGCCTACGGTAGCCCATTGTCAAGTTGTTGTTTGGCGAAACCTCTCCCCAACGTTCCCTTGCCTTTCGTAAACAACCCCTCCGCCGCTATCGCAGCGAGCAATCGCTGGGATCGCGGGCGCGCAAAAAACTCGCCCAAAAATTGTGTTTCCACGGGCCCGTAAACAATTTGTCGCAGAGTTGTTTTTCGAAAGCGCCCCCGTTCGGAAACAGTCGACGGGTTGCGTGGTGAAAAAATTGTTTTGCGTAGAGTGCACGAGGGGCTGAACGATCGCGTCCCGTGATTGACGGCGGAGCGCAAAAAACACTGCCAACGCTTTTCGGGGGGCTCCTGGAAGCCGAGGGGTGATGCAATTTGCTCGGAGATTTGGGAATGTCGCAAGTGAGGGATAGCGAGGATTTGAGGGAGGGAAAAGTGAAAATTTGAAAATGAAAATTTGATGGAAAAATGAAGATATCAGGGTCCAATTTCCTATTTTAGGAGATTGCACAGTGCGAACGGCTTTTTTCAAAATTGCACTGGGCATTGAAAAAAATAGAGAAAATGCACTGTGCAAAAACAAAAAAAATGTCCATGCACTTAAAAAATGTCCATAAAATATGAGATTTTAGTTTTTTGTTTGTTGTCAATTTCTACTGTAGTCGAATAAATAGGTATAACATGCCTTGTATCAAACAAAATGGGGAAAACTGAGAATTCAGGGGAAAAAAGAATTTTGACATCCGGCCCAACAATAAAGAAGTTACGGACAATTCAAATCGGGCCACAAATGCCTCACTCTCTACTATTGATTATATCAGTCTGTCGGGAAAATAATGCCCACTCGTCGCAACAAAACCCACAATTTTTTACACGAAATTTGGCCAATTTTTTTATTTAGTTGACGCATGAAACGTTCCATGTCAGTCCGGTAGGCTATTCACAAAATTTTTAGTTCCATAATTAGTGATAAGGCCTCAATAAATTTTGTAGGCTTGACAAAAAATCCCGAATTTTTGCCGACCTTTCTTCCCATAAGCAAAAATATCAGCAATATGTCCAAAAAATAAATGTTTTAGTCTCCGCACCGAAGAATCGACCGAGATTTTTTGGTCGAAGCTTGGAAGAAATGTGACACTTTTATGCTAATTTTGGCATGAAGAGTTTCAGGGCCCAGTTTAGTGTCTCCATTCAATTTCTCCATTTAGTGCAAACTTTGAATAAAATCGGAATTTTGTTCATTTCGGGGCGAAAATCATTTTTGAGAGCGGTGAGGAGATTTTCCTCCTTCCGCCGAAAGAAATGTGAAATTGCAAAATAAAATAAGTAAATGACATTTGACACATGCCAATAAGATATCCCTTGTAATCATAACATGTTTTCACACCAGATGGAGCATGCGGAGCAATTTTGTGAATATTTTGAATTACGTATGAGGTCATGATGCGTCTAAATTTTAATTCTTCAGATGCTGAACCTGTTATGTTAAAAAATATTATATAAAATATATGTTTTTGCTGCTACCCGTAAATCTGTTTGTCATTTTCTCTTGAACTGTAACAATTTTGAAGAAATGGAGAAAGATCTTTTTGAAACAAGTCATATATGGCACGAAAACCATAATGAATCTGAAAATGCAAGCAGACGTATTGTTCGTATTAACAGAATCACTTTCATTTAGACTACTTATCGCTTTTTATAGTTCAGACGTGTAAAGCCTTCATTCACCTGTTCGGCTTAAAAACTAGTTGATCTTTCAGGCTAAGACGGTACTGGGGTCTAACTGGCCATGATAATGAAAATGTAATCTCAACCCGAGCAGAAAACCCATTATAAAAATCGTGGTACTCTCCATTTCGCCGAATATTGTACATGATTCATTGAAAATGTTAGCAAACCCCCAGGAGACCTTGTTCTTCTGAGAAGCGGAAAACTTCAGAGCTCTGAGAGAGCGGTCCACCGACCTCTCCCAGAATGAAAATTGCCCCAAAATGAGTAAAATTCCGATTTTATTCAAAGTTTGTACTAAATGGAGAAATTGAATGGAGACACTAAACTGGGCCCAGTTTAGTATCGACCTTCAAATCCTTCCTTTAGTGCAATATTTGAATAAAACCCGAATTTTGCTCATTTATGGGAAATTTTCATTCTGAGGGAGGTCGGTTGACCGCCCTTTCAGAGATCTCAAAAATCTAAATTTTGGGTGAAAAAGAGTTGCGCAGTTACGAAACAATTCACAAATGGCACAATAACTGTAATAAATGTGAAAAATACGAGATGCTTGATATTTAACACAATCGCTTTCATTCAGATTACCTCTCTTTACAATTCAAACTTACATAAACTTCATTTATCATAGTTTGCCTTAAAAAAATGCGTTGATTTTGCAAATAAAAAGTGTCTAATATGCCTGTATCCTGTCAATCACGAAAATGTAATCTCAACCAGAGCAAAAACCCCACTAAGAAATTTTGGTACCCTCTTTTTCGTGGAATATTATACTTCATTTATTGAAAATGTCAGAGAACCCACAGGAGATGTTGTCCGTGACCTCAGGTATACTTAAAATTTGTTTTTTATTTGTATTTACAAGTTTTTCTGAAGATCAAAAAATCTTCAGAGCTCTGAGAGAGCAGTCAACCGCCCTCACCCAGAATGAAAA